TGTGTGTGTGTGTGTGTGTGTGTGTGTGTGTGTGTGTGTGTGTGTGTGTGTGTGTGTGTGTGTGTGTGTGTGTGTGTGTGATGCTTCCTTGATTTGCTGTTTGCATCGCATTGCTTAGTACCTTGTTGGCACTCTTGTGTTTCTTTTGCATTCTACTTTCCCGCTGTTTGGATTCCGGTCGCATCCAGGGGGCTGAATTGCACACGCTGTATTCGGTGTTGCGCTCTTTTGAATTAAGTTTGCATTTTTCAGTCCATTTGGAAAAATCCTAATGCCATTTTTTGTTTGCGCTCGTGTGTTCTGTCTGCATTCCATTTATGTATTAATCGCTATACGGAGTGTTTTGCTGTCTTTTTTTTTCTTTTTCTTTTTTTTCTGACAATTTTGTTCTGTCTGCAATAAATACCAATTATCCTTCTGCATTCTGTCTGCACATTCCATTTGGAGGAGTGACTGGAGTCCGTGCAGTGTTCTGTGGTCCACATTCCGCTTTAAATTTGAAATGTTTTGCGGCCATTTTTGTTTTAAGATCTTAGGAGTTTTATCTCAGTAACTGTTATGATCTGTTATCTATGGATTAATTTCCTTTTCACAGTTTCACTGTCGAGTCTTCAGTACTGAACTTGGGTTTTCAACTGTAAGTTTTTAGTACTTTTTTTTTTACTGGTTAATATTCTGTGAGCCGTTTGGGGTGATCAATTTATGGGTAGACTCTTTTCACAATTTCACAATTTGGCATCCCTGCCTTTTACAACGCCACCCGGATACACGCCCGGGTGCCCGGCCGGCCCGGGCATGACCCCCGGGCAGGGTTCGGGGCAGCGGCCCCGGCGAAAAAAAAAAAGAAAAAAAAGCGTGAATGAAAAAGAATTGCAATACAAACAATTTTTGGCTGAGGGTCACATCGGAATCGGAGATTAAAAAAAGAAAATAACAAAATCACGCGAAGGCTTCCCCTTCAAACCCCCTTAGCCCCGTTAAAACATATTTATACCCCCCTTCCCCCCCCACCCCTTGACAGCTAACTCTCAAAAAATGAAAGGAGCCCGGATTTGGGCTCCTCTGGGAGAGCACAGAAAGGCAAATAAAAATAAAATTATTATTATTATGATTTTTTATTTTTATTTTTTCGCACGCCCGGGCACCCCGGGCGTCAGACCCGCCCGGGCGTCACGCCCGGGTGCCTGGCCGGGCAGGCATGAAAATCTTCCTAGCTTCTTGGCAACTTAAAATAAATTCATGTGGCTTAAAAATTAAAATGCTGATGGCAATGATCGTCCAACCGCACGTCGGCCTGTTTGTCACTTTAAATTGTGCTTTGTGCACGTGCAGGTGCCAATTGTTGCTTCAACCGGCGGTCTCATGGATTCTGTCCTTGATGGTGTGACTGGCTTGCACATGGGGAAGTTCAGCCTTACGGTAAATATGAACACTGTCAGCGAATCCACTAAGGACGGACGGAATTAAAAGGGCCGGCCCCCCTCTACTGGGACAGAAACAAGGACTGTGGTTACTTACTTTAGTGCTCTGCCATCCGCTCTGCTGATCACTGCAGATTGCACAAATGCAAATGGAGGACAAGTGTTGGGTTTTCTATCTGGGAAACCAAACCTTCAAATGAATGGGGGATGTCGTTATCGCTGCACAGAGACTGAGAGTTGGTCCAAATGCATGCATCGCTGCCGTACGTTCTATTCAGGAGAAGCCGGTGCGCCACATGATTCCGAAAAGATCAAACTGGAATTGGGAGAGAGAGAGAGAGAGAGAGAGAGAGCTTCTGACGATGCCGTTGCACGTTATTTTCTCCTTTGATTCTATTGCGAAAAACAAAAAGAAATAATGTGCATGCGGCGGGTTTTGAGTTTGAAAAGGCAAAAGAAACTACAAAGCCGTAAAGTCCAGGCCTGAGGCCCCCAGACTGAGTTCGGAAATGCGAAAAAAAACAGAACCAAGTGGTAATGGCAGCATTGGCCCAGCCTGTCCCGGAGTCCCGGGCCATCCCAGACTCCCCAGTTCGGCCCCGCTTGTACTAGGCTGTCTCTGCCCATTTACCCAAACGACCCAGGCCCTCCAGCGGAGTGAAGTTGAATTCTTTGTCTTTCCCTGAGTTCAGACTTATGCACCCTGATAAGTTGATAGCCAATGTATACAAGGTATATTTCCGGCCAGGGGCAGGGAAAATGAGTGTGTGCTTTGTTCGGGGAAATCGGTATTGTGGGGTGAGAGAGAGACGGGGTGCCACAGACACACACACACACACACACACACACACCCCACTAGTACCTTTGTCTGTTCGAAAATACTCGGCCTCCGACCTTTCAGAACGAGGGCCGCCGATCAGATTTATCAACGGCGGGCTCGGCCTCCTGAAAGTTCGGAGGTAGACCAAAACTTGTCGAGAGAGTGAGAGTCTCAGAGTGAGTCTCAGAGAGAGAGAGAGAGAGAGAGAGAGAGAGAGAGAGAGAGAGAGAGAGAGAGAGAGAGAGATTGGCACGTGGCACCGTGTGCTGCGACGTGCCAGCGGTGATCCCTCTCTCTCTGTCTCTCCGTCTTGCATGATATGTCGAGGTAGTACGTACCTGGATGGTGGTCCAGACACTGTGGACAAGCACCGGGAGGCTGGAGGCTGGAGGCTGGAGCAGAGATGGAACAGTGGGAGTGAAATGGCCATGGGAATTGTAGGAAATACCCATGTCCCTCTTGATTTGACAAGGCTGTTAATAGCCTGTTAGGCTGTTACACCCCTGTCCCATCTTTTTTCCCAAACCCAGTGGAACAGCCTGGTACCTGGTACCAAGGCCCGCTTCCTGGGAAACGGACCGGTACCTTTCGTGACCCGAATGCCTATTAAGTGAAACTACTACGGCAACCACCTTCTCATTACTGCAGGCCCGAGTCCTAAACGCTTTTTTTTTTTTTTTTTTTTTTTTTTCAATTTTTTTTTTTGAACTCAGGCAGTGCCGAACTTGCCATATGATGGCCCCCCGAAATACGTTTTTCTTTCAGATTTGGAACTGTCACCCGTGTGAGTGTCTGACTCTCTGGTGACATGAACTTATGTGCCTCCGGATGGGCCGAACGCACGAACCCGAACGCCCGAAAGTTCCGCAAACCCTCTCGACGGACCCCGAAAAAAAAAAAAAAAAAACAAACATGAATTCCAAAAAAACTGAAAACAATATATGTTATGCAGAAGAATAAACCAAACAACATTTGCCTCAACATTACAGCCAAATTCTTTACCAAATTTAAAATAGAAAACAAATACTAAAAATAAATAATAATAATAATAATAATTAGAAAAAATAAAACGAGAAGAACTCAAAACAAAAAATTCAGAAAAAAATAGTGGTCTGGATCTGTAAACTCTAAGCATTCAATCGGAGTCTGCTGCTTGAGTCAGGCTGCATCATGTGTCTCATCAGCTCATTGATCGAGTCAATTAGAATTTTATGAATGTAACTTGAATTGAATGGAAAAAAAACTGTGTTTTCGTGATTTCTGTCAGCCCGATCTTGAAACGGAGGACATCATGAAGGTCGTGGAAGCACTCAAACGAGCTGAAGAGGTGTATAGAACACCATCTCTTTTCACGAGGATGGTTCTTGCGGGAATGTCTCAAGATCTGTCATGGAAGGTATGTGAGGATCGCATTGATTCACCTGGAAAAGGCGTGTGTTTGTTTGTAGTGTGTGTGTGTGTGCGAACATGTAATATGTGTTGCAGATTGCCCAATAGCATTGCTATGCCGGGTGCTCCACAAAAAATTGTGTATTATACCAGATCCGTTCATAACCAGTTTGAACTGTACATGCCCTATGCAACTGCTATTTGTAACGAACGAAAGCAGACAGCACCCAGTCTTCAGGAGGCTGAACCCTCGACACAGTCTGAGAGATCCCCTCACAATGCTTTCAATTATAAGCAGCTTAGACCCTGTTGTGATCAGGAAGGCAAAGAGAAGAAAAAATGCGGCTTGGACAAGGCAACATATAGCGAAGTCAAGCGGGCAGGCAGCAAGGTAAACAGGTGGGCTGGCGGGATGGAGGGCGGGGATACAAGTTCATACAACGCATCTCAGCATGAGGGTGGGGACATAACAACACACCTCGGCATGAGGGTGCGGTGCGTGGGGAGTCTGGGGACACAACGCATCAGATTCTCGCCATGAGGGCGGGGACAGAAGTCACAGAACAACACACCTTGGCATGAACACGGGGACACAATGCATCTCGCCATGAGGGCGGGGACAGAACAACACACCTCGGCATGAGGGCGGGGACACAACAACACATCTCGGCAAGAGGGAGATCAGGCGGGCAGGACATCCGCACAGCACGACAAGGCAACAAGGCAACAAGGCAAAACAACAGGGCAACAAGGCAGCGAGTCAACAAGGCAGAACAGCAGCAGCAAGGGAGGAAGACAGCAAGGAGTAAAGCAAGCAGCAGAGGCAGAACAGCAGGAAGGTGGTAAGGCAGCAAGGCAGCAAGACAGCAAGGAGTGAGGAAAGCAGCAGAGCAGCACGACAAGCAGCAGCCTGAGGGCAGGAGAGTGACCGAGAGAGTGAGCAGCAAGGGAACAACTTGAAGGAGGGAGGGGAGGCAGCACAATAAGCAGTGAGGGAACAAGGCACACAATGGCAAGGCAGGTGGAAGTGCTGGAGGCAGCGGAGGGGGCCCAGGGGGTTGTGTCGCAACTTGTGCGGGACATCAAAGCAGCAAGACATGCAGCAAAGCGATGGACACAGCAAGGAACAGAGAGTGGACTATCAGACCTGGACTGAAGGTTTACGGCACCATCAAGAACTAGGAAGCTGCCCGATGAATGTCCGTCGCCAGCAGTGTGGCACACACTTATTAAGTTACAAACTGGCACACTCAGTCCGACTGTTTGGCATAACTCATCTACTAGGCTACGCGGCACACAGGGAAAATACCTAGCCGAATAGGAAACTCTTAGGAGATGAAGAAAAAGCAGCCAGTGACACAATCTGTGTGTGCCTGCATTTGTGTGTGTGTGTGTGTGTGTGTGTGTCTCTTTGTGCATGCGAGACATTGTTGTGACTGACCGTGACCCTTTGTGTGCTGTGCCTGCTGTGATCATGTTCGTTATAAAAAAACTCCACAGAAAAAGTCTTAGAACGTCTGGACCAGAGCAAATGTTTTGGTGTCTTTCTCTGACTCTACAGGATTTGAACCCCGAGGGTTTGCCGAGGACGTGTTTGACCATTGACTGATGGATGGATGAGGAGTATAAAACCATGTTGTGCAGAAGTCAGCAGCAAAGTTAAATTGAATACATACCCCTGAGAAAAGTCGTCGATTGTACAGACGCCAACCCTGTTATCTTAGCAAAAGGCGGCCGTTTCAGACACTAACGCTGTTATCCTAGCAAATGGTGGCGGTTTCAGACACTAACCCTGTTATCCTAGCAAATGGCGTCCATTTCAGGCCCCTCGCTGGGCCTTACAAGCTCAGCAGTATCAGTATGTTCTATGCTCGCCTGCCTGCAGCTTATCCTAGCGAACGGCGGCCGTTTCAGACATGAACCCTGTTATCCCAGCAAACGGCAGCCGTATCAGGCCCCTCGGTGGGCCTTACAACCCCGACAGTATCAGAATGTTATATGCTCGCCTGCCTGCAGGTGATAAGGGGCTTAACTTACTTTTGACGATTTGAACCTCGCTGGGCCTTAGAACCCTGGCAGTATCAGTATGGCCATTTGAACCTCAAAGTCGGTTACTTTTTACTACCAGTAGTAGCAAAGGGTGCTGGTCTTCTCATTGACAGATGCCACAAAAAAAAAGAAGGGGAAACTACGCGGGAGTCAGTCACAAAAACGAGTTATAATTGCACTATGGGCCAAGATACAGTTTCAAATTGCAGTTCGGGCAATGTATACAACCCAGCTTTCTGCCCAGGTAGGGTGCCCAGAGTGCAATTGCGAACTGTATCTTGCCCCATAGTGCAATTATTTATAATTCGTTTTTGTGACTCTGCATAAGTTATCCCCCCCCCCCCCCCCCAAGAAAAGGAATCAATTTGCTCATCCAACAGGAAATTCAATATGGATTTACCTTTTCTCTTCAGAATTTAAGGTCCTAAGGTGTGCTCAGTCAGGTGCAGTTTGTTGTTGTTCTTCTTTTTCGGCCCTTAGGTGCGGAGTTAATATCACAGTCCTGTGGATTTGTTTGTTGCATCATCAATATGTTCTCTCAAGTACCAGTCTGCATGATCTTCTTAATAGAATAAAAATAGATTCATAATGTATTTCAGCGAAAAACCTGACTGCCTGCAATTTGGCTGCGAAGGGAGGGAAAAAGAAAGAAAAAAAAGGGAACTTACTTCAGGGGCGAGGACTCTGGTTCAAATCCAGGATAGCCCATTTATTCTTTATTTGTTGCACCTTTCTGTTATTTGAATTTTAGTCTAATTCTATAGAATATAGAATAGAATATATATACAATATATATTCTATACGAGCCGACTGAATAATGACATGATCTTGATGTTGTACGTTGTTTGCAGGCACCGGCAAGGGCATGGGAGCGGGCATTACTCGGCCTTAAGGAGGAGGGAGGAAAGCGGATAGAAATGGACTCGGTGGAGATCTTTCTAGGAGAGAGAGCGGAGAGGCATCTTCCTGCGCGGGAATGTTCGAAGGAGGTGCTGCCTGCAAGTGCCTAGTCATCTCAACACATCCCTTCTGTGCGACCATCACGGTAGCCCTTTTATAATTATGACCTTACGAACAAAAAACTGGGCCTCCCTGAATGAACCTGGGGAATGGGACATACAGGTGCAGATCATGCATCACTGCACATCCGTATGTCCCCTGTGTATGTTGCAGTAGCTATATTCCGGAAAGAGCGCACACTGTCAGACGGAATGGAAGTGCTTCCTGTGAATGTCTACTGGTAGGTGGCATCTCTACTATCGTCCATGCTCTGCGATGGCTGCAGAAGCATGTGGTTAAGGCCATTTTTCTCAGATGTTACACTGGTAAGGCCATTTTTTTCTGCCTGTGCTGAGACATTATGAAGCTCATCCCGCGTCCTTGATACTAGTCGATAGGGAGAAAAAACGACAGCATGTATGGATCGTGCAGCCACCCGATGACAAAAAAATTCATGCGACACACACGTTCAGATGTCTGAACACTGTCAGGGGGAGTTGGAGAGGACGATGCGGAGGCAGGGAAGAAGAGGAGGAAGAGGACGTCGAGATGTAGATAGATGGAGAGGTGATTGTACTAAGGTCTCCTGAACAGAATAAACTGGACCAGGTTCGTACATGTGTAATTCCTTAAGTGAGGTGTGTGGTCAATGGTGAGTCTCAACTTCGACAGAGCACATGCTGGAAGTTGCAATTTTGTGTCCTTCAACAATTTTAGTGGGAGGTAGTGGGAAACTTAAAACATTGGTAGAATGTTGCGATACTCAAGTGGGCTTCGAGTTCAAGGCTACTTGGCACTTGCAGTTCAATTTCGCAAAAGATGCAGTTTTGTGGACGTAGAGAAGGTAGCAAGGACGACCATGTTGACGTACTAGATATATCCTAGGAATAGGATACACACTCGGCAATCCAACAGTACATCTGGTGCGTGAGTCTAGGGGTCGAAGTTTGCGAGAACTAAAATGTCTTTAAAGTGCTGACAAAGCCACAAATTTGCTTCAGCATTGGCAGAAAGCTTCAAGTTTGGAGAAAGGTGCAAGCTTGGAGAAAGGTGCAAGCTTTATAGCAGTTGCCTTTTGTTTGACTTGAGTAGTGTCTTGAAAGTGCTGACGAAGCCACATTGTCAATTGAAATTGCTTCAGCATTGGCTGAAAGCTTCAAGCTTGCAGAAAGCCTGAGAAAGGTGCAAGCTTGCAAGCTTTGTAGCAGTCGCCTTGTGTTTACTTGAGTAATGTCTTGAAAGTGCTGACGAAGCCACAGATTGCTTCAGCATTGGCAGGAAGCTTCAAGCTTGCAGAAAGGTGCAAGCTTTGTAGCAGTTTGGCTTTTATTGACTTGAGTCACTTGACAGCAGCTATGAACGGCTTTGCAGTTGGTAGGAAAGCTGCAGTTTTGTGGAATTTACCACATTGAAGTTCATGGAAGTGAGTGATACATACCTGAGTATGCAGCAGCTGCTTGGAATTTGAAGAAAGGGGGGAGTTGAAGCATTTTTTTACCCTAATGATAGTAGAATGATTAAGTGCCTCAGCATTTGATTAACAGTGGGAAGCTTTTAGCATTTATCTTTGGTGCCAAATTGACAACTAAAAACCACCTTCGAGACTAGTTGCAGTTTTGCAGAATTGATCGTTGGAATCAGTGGAAAGGTCATGGAGTGCCCTGTCTATGGGCTACGGTCTTCACCTGAAGAACGCCCGGTCATTATAGCCGTATCTGGTGCAATTTTCAGTTCAGATACAGCTATCATGACCAGGTGTTCTATTCGGGTCAAGACGGTAGCATTGGCAGAAAGTTTAAAGCTCAATTGATTATTTGCATAGAAAAAATATTGCATAACAAAATATGTGTTCTTGCAAGCTTGTAGTATGTCCTCTGAGTTGACTAACAAACTGGCTACCGTCTTCATCCGAATAGAACGCCCGGTCATGATAGCCGTATTTGGTGCAATTCTCAGTCCGGATACAGCTATAATGGCTGGGCGTCCTATTCGGGTGAAGCAGTGTATACGGCCGTAAGAATACGGCCCGTCCGTACGTACGGGCCCCCCGGCGCCCGTACGGATGTATGGACTTTGGGCCCTCCGTACGTGGCCTTCCGGGGGGGTGTTGAGGGGGTGGATGGGCTTGGGGGGGGTCGGGTGTTTTTTTTTTGGCCCCGGGGTAAAAAAATAAAATAAAATTGATTGATTGATTAATTGGTTGATTGGTTGATTGATTGATAGAATGATTGATTGATTGATTGATTGATTGATTGATTGATATGAGGTGGGGGGGGATCGCACACACACACACACACACACACACACAAATGGGTGCGGCCTTTTTTTTTTTCTTTTTTTCTTTTTTGATTGATTGATGGATTGATTGATTGATACAAGGTGGGGGGAGTCGCCTCCCCCCCACGACTCCTCGAGTACACACACACACACACACACACACACACACACACACACACACACACACACATACACACAAACGCGTGCCACCTTTTTTTTTCTTTTCTTTTCTTTTCTTTTTTTTTTCTTTTTTCTTTTTTCTTTTGATTGATTGATTGATATGAAGTGGGGGGGTTCGCCTCCCCCCTGCGAAAACACACACACACACACACACACACACACACACACACACACACGCATGGGGGGCAACTGCCCCTTTTTTTTTGCTACCAAATTCTTTTTTTTTCTTTTTTTTTCTCATTTGTTTTTTGTTTTTTTTTAAATCCTCTTTAAGGACGAAAAATAGAAAACAAAATATGAGGTTGTAGATCTCGAAAAGATCTACAACCCCATAGTTTAGTTTTTTGATTTTGTTTTGCCCCTAAAACACCTTCGGACGGCCCTCGCCCGTACGGCCGTTCGTCCGTCCGTACGCACGGGCCATACGGAGACCCCCCGTACGACGTACGGGCGCAGGGGTGAAGACGGTAGTGACAAACTGTTTAGCGTCTGTCATGTGGATTGAATGCCTTACCATTAGCATGAAATTTCCAGTAGCATGTACTTTAAGTTAATGACAAAGAACCTCACAGGCTCAGAGACACAAGTTGGTATTGACCAACTTTTGCCTCAGGGATTTTTCTTTTGCTTTTTTTCTTTAATTGTAAAACAAGTCAAATTCGAAAAAGAAGAAAATATGGGTTTGTAGAGTGTGGAAACCTCTACAACCTGCCCTTTTTTTGGGCGACCGGAACTTGGCCGCTTGCAGCTGCTCCCCGGTCGCGGTCTTGACCTTCGGCCCCAGAAAGGCACCTGGTCCTTTCCGCTCTGCCCCCCACCAGACTTCCCTGATCCTTTCCCTCCGCACCCGCTCTCTCTGATTGAAGAGAGAATCTGAATGGGCAGATAGACAGGCCGCATGGGTGTGCATGGGGGTATCTAGATTGCTTGTGTTGGAACTCAACCCTGCCCTGCTCTACTCTCCTATTAATATACCCTGCCCTGCTCTGCTCTCCTATTAATATCTTGATGCCCTCCGAGAACAGCACATCTCTTGTCCTTTCACAGCAACAGATGACAAAGCACCCCAGGCCTTCTGGTGGAATTCAGAATCTTGCAGACCTTTTGCTCCAAGCTCTCTGTAAAATTTCTTCTTCTAAATTCCTTGTAATCTCCAACCATATCAGCCAAGACAACCCACTGCCGCCAGCGCCAAGCTTTTGAAGGATTTTTTGTTATTGAAAAAAAATCAAGAGTAGGAGTTAGCTCACTTTTTGAAGTGTGTTCTAGTGGTTGTTACTCTTGAAGGGTTCTTCGCAGTTTGCTCCACAAAACAAAACAAAGACAAAAAAGAAATGAAAAAAAGACCAGTCCTCAAGTGGGGCATGGCCTTGGACATCCTATTCGGGAGCAGAGAGTAGATGATGAACTGTAAATTTATGTTTGAGGTGGCCTACTCCTGGAGCAATTTGTCAGCTGCCAGATTCGTCATGGCCCACTAGCTTTTACCGGCTTAGAATGACAGGTCCAGGGTCTGATCAGGAATTGATAGCCATGTAGTGAAATTTGAGATTGTGGCTCCAATGCATTGGTGAATCTGTCAGGGAGCTTAGTACTTATCGCCTCAGAGTCTACCAAAGGTGGGGGAGGTAGTCGTTAAATGCACAGCACCAAAGGTAAGGTATTTTGCTTGATTTTGCTGTCCGCAGTTTGAATGCCTCACATGCCTCACGGAGAGGAATCTCACTAAGGGGCAGATCCCACTTCTACCATTTTTCGAAAGAACGTAAGAGTGCCGTGAAAGATGGAGGTGCAGCGCACGGAATGTGAAAGAAAAACACGACCCCACATGCCCTACATCTGCAGGACTTTTCCTAACGGAGCGGCACTATCTTCTGGCGCCTCGAGGATCCAACGGCCTGCACATCAGGGGAAAAAAGAGGAAGAAAAAAACAAGGGCTCCTTCTTTCACGGTGCAGGGTACGGCGTAGGCCACTTTCGAAAATATCGGTAGAACTACCGCCCCTGCGATCACGCTCGCACCTCCACGTACGAGAACATTTCCACTTCCCCGACGTTCGGGGATGGGATCCCTGTTTCGTGGAAAGAAGTGGGATGGCAAATTTTGCCTAAAAGTGCCCTGCTTATAAGAAGTGGGATCTGCCCCTAAGTCTTTCATTTGCCAGTTCAACCCGAGATTGTTTCTGAATCCTTAAACCACCAGTACTTGGGCGACCCCTTAGCGTTAATGCTACGAGAATTTCGCTATAGATCCTTAAACCACCAGTACTTGGGCGACCCCTTAGCGTTAATGCTACGAGAATTTCGCTATCGACGAATTTCGCTACCAGCGGGCCGTCGATAAATCGTATCGACAGCCCGCGCCGCTTCAAAAAAGGTGCGGCCGGCGCGGCGCGCAGTGCCCAAGTACTGGTGGTTTAATGTCCTGGTTCAAGAAAGGTTGGGAGTTACTTTAGTTTAGGGAAAAAAAAAAAAAAAAAACTCAGATGCAGCTTGTGCAGACACTTCAGAGTAAAAGTTGGGGTGGAATTTAGACGCTGGGCCTGGTTCCCAGCATGTGATGCTACCTACAAATGGACTGGAGCGACTTGGTCGCAATAAAAAACAGAAGCCTACAGTCTTCCCCCGAATACAATGTACGGTCATGATAGCTGAATTTAGACTTAAAGATCCACCAAATTCAGCTATAATGACCGCACGTTGTATTCGGGGTAAGATTGTAGGATGGACCCACCCATCTGCAGCCGGATGAATTCAATGACACCTCCCAAAGATGTTAGGGGTCCACAGAAGGCTGACATAAGTACGGGTGGTTCAGGGAGTCTTCAGCCCAGTCGTAGGAAATAGGTCCAGATCCCACTGCCAAAGAGGATTGGAATGAGTGTTTGAATCTGGACGTGTTTGTTGCGAGGTGCAGAAAACTGCTTTTGATCTGCTTTTCCGCAGTGGAACACGTCCAGATTCAGACACTTAATCCAATCGTCCTTGCCAGTGGAATCTGGCCCCTTATGCATGGAAATCACCCTGGGAAAGCACAAAAATGGCCTCCTAAAAAAAAAAAAAAAAAAAAAAAAAAGGCCTCCTCAGCTCTGAAGATGAAAAAACAAACCCAGTCGCAGTGCACCTAGATGTGCAGATCGCCAAGTGCATGCTCTGCTGCTGAATCATAGCCGCCCGGGGATGGTAGAGAGAAAACCGATCCCACAGCCTCAGGAGGTCTAGGTAACTTTGTAGCTGGGCATCACGTGATCAGGGTGGGAGGGAGTCTCTTAGGGGGCCTACATAGAGGGGTGCTACATAGATCATCTGGATGATCAAATGGCCAACAGTAACTACTGAAGGGAATGTCATGTGCCTACAGTCTTCCCCCGAATACAACGTAGGGTCATCATAGCTGAATTTAGACAGAAAGATGGACCAAATTCGGCTATAATGACAGTGCGTTGTATTCGGGGGAAGACTGTATTGTCCAGCCATTACAACAACTTGGACTTCTATTAAAAAACGAGAGAAAACTACCGTCTTCATCCGGATAGAACGCCCGGTCATTATCGCTGCATCTGGACTGAAAAATGCACCAAATGAAGAACGCCCGGTCATTATCGCTGCATCTGGACTGAAAAATGCACCAAGGGCGGCTATAATGACAGGGCGTTCTATTCAGGTGAAGAAGACGGTAGGGCGCGGTCATGGTTCGAGTTTCAAAATGTCATTCCGAACACGTTTTCTGCAGTCCAGTCCGGTCTCAAGTTTACAATGCAGTCGAAACACTTACTCGGCTTTGCAGAAAAGTCGGTCGAGTTTGTTAACTGCACAGTTACTGCAGTTCAGTCAGCTATGTGGCCGGTTTTTTCTTGTCGTTTTTCTTTTTTTTTTCCGTTTCCTCCCCCCATTCGGGCGTGGCCGAGGCATCTCTGCTGTGTGGCCCAGCCACGGCAGAGACGACTCGGCCACACCCGAGATAAAAAAAAAGGAAAGAACCCATGCAGGCCTGCTTGTGGCGCGCACCACTAGCCATTTCCGTCCGGCACCTGAAATCCCAAACTTTGTGGCCGTATACGAGCCTCATGTTTTTCGTTCAACCTGGGTGGGCCCCGTGTTGAAGGTTATGTACTAGGTTTGAATGCTGCCTGCCCCACTTCATGGCCTTCATGCATTCATTTCTTAGATGGAATGTACTAGTGCGGGCGAAAGTCTAGGTTGGACCTATTCTTTTTGGGGGGCAGTTCGGAATGGGAGTCCGCAGCAGGCTTGCCACCTCGGAGTTATTAAAGGCATGAAAAAAAGCTGGTGGCACTCGACCCATAGGTCATGTTGGAATTCAGCAGTTATGTCATTTTCTGGACCCCTTCCTTCCTAGGCTACGTGACACCCTCGGCCGCGGATATTGCGGCCAAGGAGGCCAGCTGCAACCCCGCGGCCGACCTCGTTGCCGAGTTTGTCCACGGCCACGCCACAGTCAGGCGGAGCCGCGCGTCGGCGATTGGGGCGCGTGGGCCTGCGCATGTCGGCCCCTGACTCCCCCGCCAAAAAAAAAGCAAAAAAAAAAAGAGAAATGGGGGGGGGTCATATATTTTGTTTTTAGAGGGGTTCTGGAAAAACAATGTACCCCCCCCCAAATCACGAATTTGAAATTGTGGGGGGGGGGCTACGTGTTGTGCACCCCGGATTTGGCAAATATATATATATATATATATATATATATATATATATATATATATATTGGTAAAGAGGGTCTCTCTCTCTCTCTCTCTCTCTCTCTCTCTCTCTCTCTCTCTCTCTCTTTCTCC